ACATATAGGAGAGTTGAACGGACGGCTGCGTTGTAAACTCTGCCCTTCAGGGCGAGAGTAATGAGATTGGCAAATGCACCTCGAGGTTTTGCTATACGGTTCGTAACCTCGTCTTCGATCCCCCAAGAGCCAATATAGCTGCCCAAGTTAATGAGTTCCTGAAAGACTTCTAGCTGATCACCACAAGGCGTTAGCGCAGGGGTGGGTCTCTGCCAATCTTGGAGAAGTACTTTGCATTTCGATGGAGCAAAACATGGCCCAAAACAATAGACAGCCAGTGCTAATGGGTCCAGTATTGCTTGACATGTTTGGGAGCTGTCACAGATTAGGACAATATCGTCCGCATACTCCAAGTCAAGAAGTCGCTCCACACCTTCTAGGTCGTGTGCAGCGAATGCTGTTTCCGTGACTACCTCAATAACGAAGTTGGAGAGGATAGTTGATAGCGGGCATCCTTGTCTCACACAGCTGGTGATAATGAAGGGTGGCGACAGTCTGCCATAAACCCACACTCTGCCTGAACTATGCGCGCACTGAGCTTTGATGTTTACATATTTATCAGGTACACCTTTCCTCAGCAGACAGTTCCAATGGGCACACCGATCGACTAAGTCGAAGGCACCTTTTATGTCAATAAACACGACAACGGTGGGTCAACAATAAACATGGCGTTGCTCCAACAATTGACGCAAGGTGAAAATGTGGTCGATGCAGCCTCGACCTCGACGAAACCCGGCTTGCTCTTCACTAATCTGGCTTTCACGAGTGCCAGTCAGTCTGTGGAGAATGACAGAGGCAAGCAATTTAGAAATAATCGAAATCAGACTGATCCCTCTATGATTGCCGCATTCCGAACGGGAGCGACCCTTGAAAATTGGGACAATGACGGAACGGCTCCAGTTTGTCGGTACAGTCTCCTGCTACCAAAGTTTCACTAGCAACTTGTGTAAATCATCTATTAGAGTAGGTCCCCCGAATTTGAAGAGGGCTGGGGAATGCTGTCTGACCCTGCGGCGTTATGCAATTTCAACAGCCTGATCTCACGTTCGACTTCTCTGCGTGAGGGCGGATTCAAGGAGACGACCGAGGGAAAAGGGCACTCAATGCTCGTAAGCGAAAACGATAACTCAGGGTGGTTAAATTGTCTTGCAAAGTGTTCAGCCCAACGCTCCAAGCGTTTGGCAGGCTGTGGATCGGCTGCCCACTTTCGTCGCGAATGGTCTCGCTAACACTAGGTCTCCTGTTGCCTGTTTCCCGTATCAAATGGAATAACATAGAATGATTGACAACGGTAGCGGCTGTTTTATTTCTGATGCACGATGCGACCACCAGGCTTCGCGGTCTTTCTTCAGCCTAGCACATACTATTGTGCTGGGATTTTTGCGAGCCTCGTTATATTCGCTTCCAGCCGGAATACATCGGCGACCATCCATAAGTTCCAGAGACTGTGTAGAAACCCAGTTTTCAGTATGGCAATTTGAGTTGCCACATGAAGACATGCCTGCTAATAGTAACGTTTGGCGAAGATGCATCCAGTGATGTTCGATGGTGTTCAGTGGGTGGTTACTCAGCTCGGATGTCAGCGCCTTTTGAGACACATTCAGAACACCTAGCTTCTCCAGCTCTCTGGTGTCAATCCGTTTACATCAAGGTTGCGGAGATCCACTGAAACGCACTCGGAGGTCGGCGCAGACAAGTGCTTGGTGAAATTGCACACTCGTGCTCCAAATCGAGCGACAGTTTTGGACACAACCTCTCCATTGGTAACTGATCACAATATGATCGATTTGCGTCCACGGCTGATGCGAAGTTGGTGGTCGCCAAGTCACACTCTGCGGGTGCTGTGTCGAAAGTTTGTCCTCGCATATCATTCTGACCTGATGGTTGTTACTGATACGTGGTTGTTTCCAAATACTTCTGATTCTGCGATACACTTACATGGATATTAGTTTTAACAAGTTCATCGTCTTGGCATCAGGTTTGGAAGTGGTGTTATGCTTTACTGGAAGTCTGTACTGGGAGTTTATACTGTAGATGCTATTTGCGACACATTTGAGGATACGGAAAAAGTTTAGCGTCTTGTCTACGACATACCCCACTTGTGCATAGTTAGTGCTGTCTAAAAACCCCACTGGGCTGTGTATTCCGAGTATTGAACTCGACAAAACCGCACGGTTAGGGATTCGCTTAATCGTGAGGAGAATGCAATATCCCGAAGGTTAAGTGGGAGTTATTTAACTGCGATCTCGCCCACGACTCCTACGATGCTGTTCTACTCAACACTGTGATCGAAGTTAAGCTAACACAAAATGTTCAGTTACCTAGTAGTATAATTCCGGGTCAGTCGCTGCACCTCCTCGACATTGTGCTCCTACCTCAACATTTGAAATCTCTGATTTAGAGATTCTGCAGACACTTGGGTCAAGCGACCATTGTGTGCTTTATTTTCTATGAGTGAGACGACCCACTATCCACCACTCGGAACAATGTAACAATAGAGCAGTGGATTATCAGGAATAAAGAAGTAAAAAACGTTCTACATTTTTCCCTAGGTAAAGAGTGAGATCAAAATGAACATAGAAAAAAGTAAGCTTGGCCGTGAACTTATCGCACATTTCACGTGGGCACATTGTTCGGTTACGTTTTCATGTGCCCCTGCAATTTGGGTTAAATTATGTACTGCCAGTGGTGTAATGCATCATCAAGGAGAGTTTTGAACTCGGACAACATAGGAGCAGATACCACAAGATGCGGAAGTAACTTCCACTGCTGATGTACTCGTACAGAGAAATGTTCCGACGGCATACCAACCGTGTATAGTGTGCCGACCAATTCAAGTGGTTGCCTCTCATTGAGGTGTTTTGAGTGAGTTTCAATAAGGGCCGGCATGCGTGGTTAAGGTACTTTAGGCTCTGATATACCAATATAAGATAAACTCTCAGAAGACGATAATGTTCACGGATAACTCCTAGGGTCTTTAGTCTAAACTTCAACGTGTGTCTCACGTAAGCGATGAACATTTGCGAAAATAAGGTAGGATCAAACCAGCCAAACGTCCTCCGCAGTAGGCCCAAATTTTTGCTGGCTTTTTCACTGCGATCTTAGCCTGCTTTGAGCATAGGAGGTCGTCCTATACAAGCAGGCCAAGATAAAATCCATGAGTAACGCGCTTCAGAACGTGTTCTCACAGTCCATATTCATAGGGGCTCTGGGGGCCTTTGCTGTTTATTTTGCACTTGAGAGGGTTAAAAGTAAACATGTTCTGGGTTGACGACTCGTAAGCTCTGTCGAGATCACCTTGCAGTGCTATTTTGTCGTTCACTCGCTTGCCAAATCCTCAGAGTGTATGCAAAGGGTAGAATGTTCAACGTCAACACTCCGCGAGCTCGTTTGTGATCACAAAGAATAGCCGTGGTGCTAGTACCGACCCTTGAGGAACACCAGAGTAAACATCTGTTGGGTCGGACAGGGCACTACGAATCCGCACATGCAGGCGCCGTTGGAGTAGAAATGAATGTATCCAACCCAGGTCAGGATCACCGATCTT